ATTATTTTCCTCTGTCTTGCAGAGTAATGCATAAGAGAGCAGTGACTTAGATCATCTGGTGGATAATTTTACAACTACTTAGCAAACTTCACTTGATAAAGCTGCTCCGCTGAAAAAGAAAGTAATCAGTCAGAGGAAATTAGCTCCTTGGTTCAATTCTGAGTTACGTACTTTAAAACAAACATCTAGAAAACTAGAAACAAAATGGCGCTCTACTAATGTTGAATAATATTACTTATCCTGGAGAGATAGCCTGCTAACATACAAAAAAAGCTCTCTGTAAAGCTATACCGGTTATATTATTCATCTCTAATTGATGAGAATAAAAATAACCAGAGGTTCCTTTTCAGTACCATATCAGTCTAATGAAAAATTCTCTCTGTTGATTCATGTATCCCTACAACCATAAACAGTGATGACTTCATGAAATTCTTTATAAATAAAATGGTTTCAATTAGGGGAAAAAAGTCAAACAACATTCCTGGTATCGCCTCCGATTCTGTGTCAGATGAGACAACTTTAAAAATGTCACTAGAGCCTGATTTATTTTTGGACTGTTTTTGTCCTGTTGAGCTCTGAATTGTCAAAAATAATAGCTTTATCCGAACCATCCACGTCTGCTAGATCCCATCCCAACCAGACTGTTTAAAGAGGTATTTCCCTTAATTAATAACCATGTCTTGGATCTGCTTAATTTGTCTCTAATAAATGCTTATGTACCACAGAGCGTTAAGGTTGCTGTAATTAAACCTTTACTTAAGAAACATAACCTTGACTCAGGAATCCTAGCCTAGCCACCTCACTGAACTATGGACCAATCTCTAAACTCTGCATTTTAACAAGGTTCTAGAAAAACTGATAAACTCTCAAATCAAAAATGACCTGGACTCATTTAACATCTTACCTCTCCATCAATCTGGTTTCAGGAAACAACACAGCACAACCACTGCTTCACTGAAGGTTCTTAATGATGTTGTTGAAGCACTGGATGCTAAGGATTATTGTGCTGCACTTTTCTTAGACCTGTCTAAAGATTCTGACACTGTGGATCAGAACATCTTGTGTCAGAAGATCTCAGAAATTGGTTTCTCAGATCACACCATTGGTTGGTTCTCTAACTATCTTTCTGATCAGAAGCAATATGTTCAACGTAATGGTACTTCCTCCAGTTACCTAACAGTCAGTAATGGTGCACCACAAGGCTCAGTCTTAGGACCCACCCTCTTTACAATATAAATAGCTAATGTAGGTCAGAGCACCCCTGATGCACCCATACATTTCTATGCTGATGACACAGTTGTTTATTGTCGAGCTAAAACAGTTGATAAGGCTTTCCAGCTTTTGCAATCCGCCTTTGACATCATCCAGTCTGATTTGTTTCACCTCAAATTTGTTCTAAATGCCGATAAAACTAAAGGGATGCTTTTTTCAAACAGGAAGTCAGTCCCATCAGTTCTTCCTCTGATTTTATTCTAAAATGGTGTCCCCATTGAGTTTGTCGATTCCTATAAATATTTGGGTATCTTGGTCGACTCTTTCTTTTTCAGAAAAAGATCCTGTCTAACTCTGAATGCAAGGAAACACCTTGTAACTGTGACTCTCCTTGACTCCATTGAATAGGGTGACATTATCTATATGAATGCTCCTACAAGCACTTTGCAGATGTTGGATGCTGTCTATCATGGTGCATTAAGATTCATAACTGGCTGCAACTACCGTACCCATCATTACACTATGTACTCACTGGTTAACTGGACATCATTAACTTCACACAGACTCTCTCACTGGTACATTTTCATCTTTAAATCACTTCTTGGTCTGCTGCCTTCATACATCTCCTCCTACATGTCTCTGTGTGAGTGCAGCTACAGCGTGCGCTCTCAGGACATCATTACCTGCAGTGTTCCCTCAGTGAGGACTGAACTAGACAAAAGGACCTTCTCTTACTCCGCTCCTGTTTCCTGGAATATCTTGTAAATGTTCATGTTTGTGCTGATGTTCAATGTTTTATGTTATGAGTGCTTAGTGTATATTTAGTTTAGTTTTTCTTAGTTCATATCTTAGATGTTATTGCTGTTTTTCTTAGACATTTTATTGTTGGATGTAACTGGGACCCTGTGTACATAATTTCGCTCCACCACATGTACCACATGAGGTGCGAATGACAATAAAGAATCTCTGACTCTGACTCTAAAAAGATCTGAAGCTCTCGACCGTGACCTCTCTAAGTGTCTTTAAAACCCCTTTAAGTTGCTGGAAAAAAACAATGCAGACATGTTCCTGTTTTTAGTTTTCTACACCACCTTATAATCTAGCTGGGATTTTTTTCTTTGCTACTATTCCTCTTGATTGTCCTTTTGGTTGCTATTTTGCTTTGATTTGTAAAAAAAAAAAAAAGAAGAAGAAAAACTTAAATTTGTATGCCTATTCCTTAGGGGTGGGCGATATGGCTCAAATATAATGTTGTGATATTTCAGAGCATTCAGCTGATAACGATAAATTTTGTGATATAACAAAAAAAAAAAAAAAAAAAAGAATTTGACAAAATTAACTTAACATGTTGCTTTGCAGTATTATATAAAAACTATAAAAAAATGGTAATTTGACTGAAATTGCTTTATTTAGTAAAGTATTCAGTCTCCAAGTATAAAAATAAAAAATTAAAATGATCCTTTTGTTATTAAGATTGAAAGAGTCTGCACAAAATATATAATAAAAATATCAATAAATCCACCACAAAAACTAAAGTGTAGGTGAAGTTTCTCTAAATAACTAAATAAAATGAAGCTTAAGATCTGTTGAGCATAAATGTAACATACAACAAAATATATGTTTCCTTTAAATGAGCTAAACTTCCAGAACTTGTAACAAGGTGATGATCTGAGCCTGCAGCTTGTGGTGTTTCAGCTTCCTCTGTTCCTGCAGGAATCATTCATTTCTCTGATGCTCTGTCTCTGATCACCTGACTCTGTTCCTGGTCCATGGACTGTGGAACTCGAGAGTCACAGCTAAGCTGCTCGTGTTTGTACCGGCAGCTCAGAGCAGGGTGTGGGGAGAGAATAAAGCCAAGCTGCGCTGGTGGGGTATGGAAGCCATTATGTCTCATAAATCAAATTAAAAGGGATTAATAGAATTGCTTTTTCATTTCAAAGTCAAGCTGCATTTTTTGACTCATAAAATTTTTTAAAAATGAATAATCCAAACTGCATTTTCATTTTCTTCTTCAAGACTGCTCATTGTGTAAATTAATTAAAATGATAAATAAAATAACGTTTAACATTTAATTTTCAAAATATGTCCCTGTAAAAAGGGACCAAAATTCATTTTGAAATGTCAAATTTGAAAATTAAAATGAAATAGCAGAAATGCTTTTTCATTTCAAAGTCAAGCTGCATTTTTTGACTCATAAATAAAATAAAAAATAAATCATTTTCATTTTCTTCTTCAAGACTGCTCATTGTGTAACACAACTGCTTTTTCGTTTTCATGCCCCACCCCTGCAGAAAGTGTTCCAAAAATCAATCTGAATTGGCAATTCCAAGCGGCGCAGGAGAGTGACGTCATTGCTGCCTCACACCGCCCAGTCATACGCATCTTTTACGTTCGGGGGTGATGATTAGGCAAGACACACATTTACAACCTTCCTCACGCAAAAAAAATTTGGATTATGTCATAAAATACAACGTAAATCCACCCAAAACGCCATTTTTTTACGCCTGCCTTCTAAACGCAGAAATTTACGCTGTTTATTTTGTGCATTGAACGCAGCTTTATACATGTGACCGTTATAAAACGCTGTAATTTATGCTGTAAAAGATGCGTTTTCTTGAATTTTGCAAGGCCCTCCTGTACTTTTCTTATCCACTCAGTTTAAATGCAGTCACTCAATAGAAGTATTACAGACCACACTAATTCATCACAGACGTCACACCCCCGAACGTCAAAGATGCGTAAGACTGGGCGGTGTGAGGCAGCAATGATGTCACTCTCCTGCGCCGCTTGGAATTGCCAATTCAGATCGATTTTTGGAACACTTTTTGCAGGGGTGGGGCATGAAAATGAAAAAGCAGTTTGTTCTTATATCCTGATGCATGCTCAATAATCCAGGTAGAAAAATCCAAAAAAGTTCAATCTGGTCCTCTGGAACGTGAACCGGCAATCTTCGGATCACAGGCCCACCTCTCTAACCTCTGCGCCACCACTCCCCACAATTTGTATTTCTCAATTTATAAGCTTTCTTTTATGATTGTCTACTGTTGTCTTTGCTGTCCATTGTCATCATCACTCTTCGTTAAAATCAGGTCTCTCTTGTAAATGAGTCTCTGAGGCTCAGTGATATTAACCTGTAGAAATAATGGTTTAATGACAATGAATAAATCACAGCAAGAAGGGTTCAATCCTCGGTTTGGACCTGGGGTCTTTCTGTATGGAGTTTGCATGTTCTCCTTTTGTTTGCATGGGTTTCCTCCTACATTGCAAACACATTCATTCAACCTTTATTTCTACAGGTAAATCCCATTGAGCCTCGAGGACTCATTTACAAGAGAGACCTGATTTAACAAAGAATGATGACAACAGTGGACAGTTTTAAAAAGGCATACAGATTTATTTATTTTTTTTTACAAATAAGATGTCCAAAAAAAGTAACAAAAAACAGCTAAATTCTAAGGCGAATGTAGAAACTAAAAACAGGAACATGTCAGCATTGGTCCCTGCCAGGAGTCCAACAGATTCTTAAAGACACTTAGAGAGGTCAAAGGTCGAGAGCTTCAGA